GTGGGAGGAAATGAGGGACAGGGTAACACTGTTCCAAAAGAAATGTACTCATTACCTTATGTAACTAACCCTTCTGTACATCACCTTTACATAAAATTTATATTAAAAATAATTTTAAGGGAGGAAATGACCAATACAGGATGTTAGGAATATATACTTTCAGTCTGAAACATGAGGATGAAATGTGTATTTTGGTAAATATAGTTAATGTTATAGGAGAACATATTTAAGGGGTAGAGTACATGTATACAGCCTAACATCTCTTCTCCCATTGTAAATTCATGTAAGTATACTTGAAATTTATGTAAAAAGTCCCAGCTGGGTTGATGGCACGTGCTTGTAATTCCAGCTACTTGGGAGACAGAAATAGGAATCTTAAGGTTCAAGACTAGCTCTTACAGAAGCATAAGACCCTTTTTGACATCTAAGGACAAAAGATCTCAGTCAAGGCTCAAGTGCTTGCCTAGTAAGCACAAGGTCCTGAGTTCAAACCCCAGGACCTCCCCTCCCCCTAAAAAAAAAAGCTAAGATGACTACAAGATGATATGATAAGAGATTTGAGCTCAACTGTTTTTGAGGTCAATTTGAGCTTCAACTATTGAATTTCTCAGTTTGGATTTTGTTCTGGTCTTTGTCCCATTCCACAAAACAAAACAACCCTCTAAATCTGTCTTTGGCAGTAAGGAAGCCTCCTGTTTTCTGAGCTTCTAAGAAATTTACATGTGGACTAGAGTCTCAGAATAGCTGGAGATTATAAAATGTTTGGGTTGTAAGAAAGTAACCCTTCATGCTAGCTCCAGTGGTTCACGCCTGTAAATACTAGTTACTCAAGAGGCTGAGATCTGAGATTTATGGTTTGAAGCCAGCCTTGGCAGTAAAGTCTGTGAGACTCTTCATCTTCAGTTAACCACTAAAAAGCTTAAATGGGAGCTGTGGTTCAAGTGGTAGAGTGCTAGCTTTGAGCAAACAAAACTTAGGAATAGCACTTCCTGAGTTCAAGCCTCAGGATGGGCACACACAGGCAACCCACCTCTCCCCCCCCCAAAAAAAAAAAAAAAACAACCAACAGAAAAGAAAGTAACACTTTCACTAGTGTGGTGATCTCAGTCTTTAAAAGAAATCTGCATATGATTGGTACATGGTCTACATTTCCCTTGTAATGTTACTTGTTTTATAATGCCCCTTTCTGTCCTCCTACTTCTGGATGAGGGCAAGAATAAGCCATTCTTCAGAGGGCAGATAGTCTGGGATTTCACTTACATGCAGGACCCAAGTGGTTAAACTCATAGTGTGGTAGGTTGTCTGTAGGGGCTAGGCAGAGGAAAGGGGTGGGGGTGAGAAAGGATTACTGTGTAATGAGTAGAGTCAATTTTATAAGATAAAGAGTTCTGGAGATGGAAGATGGTGGTGATTGAACAACAATGTGACTTTTTAACGTTGTACTTACAATGCTTAAGATGGAAATTACGTGTTACTTCAATTTCAATAGTGGAAAAAAAGTAAATGATAGTACCCTTTTTGGCAAATATTATTAAGGACTCAAGTCACTAAATCATTATATAGTGATTTGCTGTTCTTTCGTTATGGATGTGTAAGATTCCTAAAAAGTGAAAATTTTATCAGAAATTTTTTTATCTCTCAGAGGTGTCAGACTTCAAACTTTGCCTGTAGGAGCAAAGAGCACAGTGTATCTGGAAAAGACATTTTGTGTTGTTTTGTTTTGTCTATTTAGAAATATTTATTGGGTACTCATTGTGTCGAAGGAACAACAGTGACAGCATTTGTTGAATGATACCTGCCAGCTATTGTTCTAAGTTTACACTTAAAAACACTTGAGAAACTCAGCACTTCATAATCTAACAACGCTGGAGGGTGTTCTCATTTTGCAGTTGAGAGACCTGAGGCTCTTGAGTGGGTAGGTGGTTTTCTACTTTAAAAGCAATTTGAGAAGAATTTCAATACATAGAAATGAAGGGAAGACATACTGGATAGCAGAAAGCTAGCAGGTAGATTGGGGTGTAGGAATGAATAAGATGTATTTATAACAGAGCAAGGTTCGGCTTGACTGAAGTCTGAATAACCTTAGGGAGATGGGCTAGTGGTTCTTCTCTTAGAATCCTGACTTCCAGCAGCATGAGCTCAGACTTTTTATTCTGTAGCATTGATAGGAATGAATTACCCATGAGGGAGATTGTATGTATGGAAGCAATATTTGAAATGCACTGGAGAACCTAAGAGTGGAAGCCACAGACTAGGTAGAAAGACCACTTAGAATGCTGATTTTTTTTACATTTCAGTATTGCAGTGACTGGTAATTGAGGAGTAAGTTGAGAGACAGACAAGAAATGAGAGGCATGACTGTGTAGTCACAAGAGAATATGGAGGCTCTCTGGAGCATGAGTGTGTTAAGGCAGACCTTTTCTGTGTGTGTGTGTGTGTGTGTGTGTGTGTGGCTTCCACATACACATGCATATAATAGTTACCTGATTTATAAATCATGTGCGGTTTTAGCTTTAGCTTTGAAAACGGAGGATGCTTAGAGCTCCGTGTGAAAAAATGTCTTCACAAATGAAACCGCCTTCATAGAAGGAGGAATTTGGCCTTGGCTGAAGGTTTGAGGTTGGGTAGCTTCTTCCTGTTTATGAGATGAGGCAGAGCTGGTCTGGAGACTGGAGAGTAGAAAAGTCTCAACTCTGTCAGAGGGAATTTAGTAGGTTGATCATCATTCTGTAGAGAGGTATAGAGTAAGGTAATGTAACCATATTAGTCTTTTATACAAATAACTCAGGAGCTCTTTTACACAGCATTGGTTGTAGAGTAGACTGAAAGTTGAGTTGTTTAAACAGAAAATTTGTTTAAAATTTTGAGGGAAGATCTATACCTTAAATATTTTATGAGTAAATGTATGTGTTTATAGTTCTGATCTATTCATATACAGGCAAAAATTTTTAAATAATGTTTTTAGGATATTTTGTCTTTATTAGATTATAGAAGCAAAGCATTTTCCTTGTAAACATTTTTTATATAACATTTGACTAAATTGTATAATTGTAGCAAATAAACACATTTCCTACAATTTTGGAACAGTTTACTCTTGGTAGGCACACAGCTCTGTTGTTTGGAGAAAAATGAGATGGTATATTGGAGAGGACCCTCATTCCTCCTAAAGAAACTGATGTTCAGGTATAACTTGTTCATGACTTTAAGATGGACAGGAAACCCATTAAAAAAAATCCAATCCTTTCTCCATTCTAAAGAGTTGCAAGGTAATAGGGAGTAATATGTCAGATATTAGGAAGTTGTAAAGAAATTATAGTAGAGAGAGAAAGAGAGAGAGAGAAAGAGAGAGGAAGAGAGGGGAGAAGGGGACGGAGAGGATGCATTTGCACAAGAGAGCAAGTGTTGGTACTGGGACTTGAACTCACACTATCAAAGGGCTTTCTTGCTCATAGCTGGCCCTTTACCACTTGAGACACACCTCCACTTTTTTTTTTTCTGTATAATTGGAGATAAGAGTCTTGGATTTATCTGCCTGGCCTGTCTTTGAGCCTCAATCCTCATATCTTAGCTTCTAGAGTAGCTAGAATTACAGGCATGAGCCACTGGCACCAGGCTTAGTTTCATTAATAAAATTCACATATGACTATATGCCATCAATTTAGTGTGTACAATTTATACTATATATTCACCAAACTGTACAATCAGCACCAAGATTGAATTTTTTTTAGGAGAATACTTCCATTATTCCCTAAGAGAAGCCTTGTATTTAGCAGTCTCTCCCATCTTCTTTCTGTCCTGGCAACCAGGATTATGCCTTCTTTCTAGATTTGTCTACTCTGGACTTTTTTTGTGTATGTGTATGTGTAGGGGGGTGTCTGTGGAACTTAAACTCAGGGCCTGGGCACTGTCTCTGAGCTCTTTTGCTCAAAGCTGGTGCTTTACCACTTTGAGCCACAGCGCCACTTCTGGTTTTCTGGTGGTCAATTTGAGATAAGAGTCTCCTCCCCAGGCTGGCTTTTAACTGTGATCCTCAAATCTCAGCCTCCTGAGTAGCTAGGATTACAGGCATGAACCACCGGCGCCCAGCAGCTCTGGACATTTTATATAAATAGAATCGTGTAAAATGTGTTTGTTTAAGAATGACGTCTCAGTATAATGTTTTTAAGATAGGTAACAGTGGAATTAGAAACTCACTTGAACAGGAGTTTTTCAGTGTTGTTTGCTTTTTGGTGGTTAATTGGAAATAAGAGTCTCATGGGTCTTCCTGCCCTGGCTGGCTTCAATCAAACACAGTCTTCAGATCTCAGCCTTCAGAGTACCTAGTATTACAGACATGAGCCATGGCACCTGGTCTGTAAATAAGTGATTTTTCTCTTAGGTTTTTCTGGGTTTTCCAAAATTATACAAGCATTTATTAATATTATACTGAGAAAAATTAAATCACTTTTAGCCAGGTGCTGGTGGCCTATGCATATACTCCTAGCTACCCAGGAGGTTGAGATTTGGGAATTGTGGTTTAAAGCTAGGCCAGAGAAAAATCTGTTTCTCTTACCAACAATTAACCACCAAAAAGCTTGAAGTGCAGGTGTGGCTTAAGAGGTAGAGTGCCAGTCTTGAGCAAAAAAGCTAAGCAACAGCACACAGGCCCTGTGTTCAAGCCCAATTACTAAAACAAAAACAAAAAAAAATTTTTTTTGCAATATACTTGAGAAAGATTTTGGCAGGTGGCAAAAAAGAACATTAGTCCTTAAAGGATTTTCATTGTCTTGTTTTCTGTCGCTATATAGATTGTTTTCTCTGTATATTTGAGACATTTATATTTAATTTATTTGTGTCTCTGGGTATTTAACCTGTAAGATAAGTGAATTCTTGACCAAAGTGTAAGTTATAATACTAATTGTATTAGCTATGTGTATTAGATGGCAGCTGCTATACTGTTAAGAACATTTGTTTTAAACTTAGCTGTTATTAACCATATTTCCTTCTTTTTTGCCTTTCAGCCTTCAACATTCCATATTCTGCTTCATACATGGAGAATCACTCCTCCTTTGCTCCTGTGTACCTACTTGAGTGCCTGTAAAGAATAAGCTCCTGGTTGAAAAGGTTTCTAGATGGATCCTTTTCAAATTTGTTGTCTTTTCTACAAACTCTGTGCCTCAACATCCATTTCTAAGTGGTAAGAATACACTTAAAAAATAATTACGAATTCTAAAGTGTTTGCACTGCTTTCCCTCTTTTCTAGGTCTCTTCTTTTTCTCTTTTTGTCAGTATTGGGCTTGAACTCAGGGCATGGGCTCTGTCTCTGAGCCTCTCTGTGCTCAAGACTAGCATTCTACCACTTGAGCCACAGCAGCACTTCCGGCTTTTTCCATTTAATTGGAGATTAGAGTCTCCCTGGGCTGTCTTGGAACCATGATCCTCAGATCTCAGCCTCCTAAATAGCTAGGATTATAGGCGTGAGCCACCCATGTCTGGTGTTGAGCAACTTTTTATGTGTGTACTTTGTATAATTTCTGTGTAAGGCTAAGGAAATTATAATGGTACTGTCTTTTCCTATCTAAAAGTAATTGAGTCTGAATCATGAACACATACCTTAAATCCTAATGATTACAAATTAAGTCAGTGTTTATGGACATAATAAGAGGTATGTAATGCAAAAGCACTGTGTGTCTTTTATATTTTAGTATTTCTTTCTGAAACCATAGATGTCATCTTTCCCAGCAGGTTTTGTGGATATCTCTGAGGTTTACTTAGAACACGTCTGTTGGAAGAGATGGCAGAGGGGGAAGGTGGAACAGAAAAAATTGCTAAATTGGAGACTGTAAAAGTAAAATATTGAAGTAGGTGTATTTTGAGGGTGTCAGCAGATATTTACCAAATGAATGCCTACTATTTATGAATGAAACTACATAGTGATATTTAGCACACAGTAAAAAAGTAAATCATCATATGAGGACTATAGTGTTAGATGAGACAGAATGCTAATATGAAGAATGGAGAATAGGGTACAGGTTAGTCTAGTTTTTATGATTAACTGCATCACCTTATTTATTTATTTTGTGTCAGTGTTGGGGCTTGAACTTGGGGCCTTGAACCTATTCCTGAGTTTTTGCTCAAGGATAGTGCTCTACCATTTGAGCACAGCTCTACTTCCAGCCTTATGATAGTTAATTGGAGTCTTACAGACTTTTCTGCCAAGACTGGTTTTGAACTGCAGTCCTTAGATCTTATCCTCCTCAGTAGCTAGGATTACAGGTGTGAGCTACCAGGGCCTGGTTTATACATGTTCTTGAGTGTAAGCTAACAGACTTAGTAAACCTCATTTTTCTCATCCATGAAATGAATGAGTTATATATACCAAATGATTTTTAAGGGCATTTTTTCTGTGATTTTTGTATACTTAATACTTTAATGAATAAATTGATAGACACTTTTTATAGACACTTTGGTTTATTTTTGATAATTGTGAGACAAGAATAAGGTCTATCTCAACTATTAGAGTATTTTTCACTAACTATTTGAAATTAATGTCTTTAACTTCTGCTTGAAGTTGATGTCTTTCTTTTAATCTTTTTTTTCTATATTCTTACTATCTTCTGCAGACCTGTAGAACATTCTTACATTTGATTCAGATGTATTCTGCCTACTCTTGTACTGTATTAATTCTCATACTTTTTGGCCTATTTATTGTCTATTTTTTCCCCTTAGTTACTTTCTAGGGTTACTCTATGTTAAGTCAGTGGTTCTGAGTACCCCCCTCACTCCCTGTAACTTCCTGTCTTTGACCTTATTAACTGTATAGCTTTGGCCAGGTTTTTGAAGTCTATAAAAGATCAAACATCCATATATAAGTATACAAAATAAACTATAAGTTTATATAAGCCATATATAATATGTAAACTTAATTTACATATTATATATAAACTTACATATATATGTGTAAACTTAGTTTACATACTATATATGGTTTATATAAACAAACTACTGAAGTCAAAAGAAGATCTGTTATGTGTATATGTATATCTATCTATCTATCTTTTTTTTTTTTTCTTGTTTCATTCCTAGCACTTGAACTCGGCCTGGGTACTGTTCCTCAGCTTTTGTTGTTGTTGTTGTAGGTTGTGGGGGCTTGAACTCTGGGCCTGGGTGCTGGCCCTGAGTTCTTCAGCTCAAGGTGAGCGCTCTGTCACTTGAGCCACAGCTCTGCTTCTAGCTTTTTGGTGATTAATTGGAGATAAGACTCTCATGGACTTTTCTGCCAGGGCTGGCTTTGAACGATGATCCTCAAATCTCAGCCTTCTGAGTAGCTAGGATTACAAGTATGAGCTGGTACCTAATTACAAGTATAGGTTAGAAATTTTTGAATTTTTCTTAAAAAATTTCCTTACTATTTGAAAATTTTAAATAAACAGACTGAAGCTGGACATGGTGGTATACCTGTGGTCCCAGATACTCAGGGGAGGAGACAGGAGGGTCAGGGTTTTAGGCTAGCCTGTTGTCAAAAGTTAGCAAGAGACCTTATCTGAAAACTAAAGAAGGACTTGGTAAGGCTTAGCTGATAGACCCTCAGTTTAATCCTTAGTATTACAAAAATAAACAAACAAAAAAACCCTCAAACAAAACCCCACAAAAACAAAAGATAACACAGAAATCAAGAACAACAACAAAAACTGATAAAAAGAATCCCTTTATGTTTACTATCCAGATTTAATAAATTATCAGGTCTATATCAGGTCATCATTTGTATATATCCCACCAAATTTCTTCTTGTGCCTTTACTTGAAATCAAATCCTAGATGTTATATGACTTATTAGTATTTAAATATGTATCAATAGGACTTTATAAAAAAGAGAAAGGGGATACTACCATTATCCCTGTTAAAAGAAAATTCCAGTTATTAAATATCCAAATAGTATTGATTTTAATTTTCTTTTTTGTTTTTATTGTTATCATAAAGGGGAGTTTTATAGTTATACAAGGGAAGCAAAGAGTACATTTCTTTCTTTTTTTAAAAAATTATTGTTTTAAATTTATGTGGTACTGAGGAATCAAACTCAGGGCCTCATCCATGATAAGCAAGCCACCTTCCCAGCCAACAGTGCATTTCTTTTTGGATAGTATCACCCCTTCTGTATCTCCTAATTTTTCCCTCCCATCCTCACTCACAAGTTATATAGTTCATTTTCAACAAGGTATCCACTGAGTACCATTGCTGTATTTGTTCAGTCTTTTCCCCTCCATTTCTGCGCCTTTGAGTTCTCTTGTAAATTATAAAAATTGTTCATTTGATTGGCTCTGGAATTGTAGCACTCATCCGCATTGCAAGTGGTTTGTTTTGCTCTTAAGATTCCTTCTCGCCATCCTCCTCTTGTTTCTGAATCTAGGTCTCTCTATGCAGCCTAGGCTGGCCACCATGCTCCTGCTCAGCTTCCTTCCTGAGTGTTGAGGTTATAGCACCTCTCCTTTTTTCCCCCTGAAAATTTATTTGCTGAAGAGATGGGGTCATTGTCCTATAGATTTGGGTTTTCCTATGAGGTGTTTGTATTTCTTGGTAACTGGTACAGTAGTTGGGTCCAGAGAGTTGATCATATTCAAGTTTTTTTGGCAAGTCTGAAGATTTAGATATGATAACATGCTGAGACACCTGTCTCTGCATGTATCTGTCTAATGTCCAAACATCTAGCTGTCTCTCATTTTGTGCTGATAAAGACTGACTCACCAATGGCAATTGGATCAGGGTTTGGGAAATTCTTTTCTGTAGGGAGGCAGTTAGTATATATTTGTGGACTTAATCATGTTCAATAATACTACATAGGTTTATTTCCTCAGCTTTTGACAACTGTCATTCTGTTCTGTTTTCTTTCTGTGACTCTGCCTTATAAGTGGAACCATACAGATACAGTACTTACACTTTCATTACTAACATATTTCCCTCAGCATAATGTGTTCAAGGTCATCTATGTTGTAGCTTGTGTCAGAATTTCAACCCTTTTTATGGCTGAGTGATTGCATTATTCATAGATACCACTCTTTGTAATCCATTGATAGTTTCTACCTTTGAATTGTGGCAATGTTATTGTGAACATTGCAGTTTGTTACACTCTTATTTTTATAATAAAGTTTCTAAATGTAGTCCATACTAAAGAGAAGGTGATTATCTTTTTTTTTTTGGTCTGGTTGTGAGGCCTGAACTCTGGGCCTGGGCGCTGTCCCTCAGCTCTTCAGCTCAAGGCTAGAGCTTTACCACTTGAGCCACAGCACCACTTCCGGCTTTTTTCTTTTTGCTTATGTGGTGCTGAGGAATCGAACCCAGGGCCTCAGGCATGCAAGGCAAGCACTCTACCACTGAGCCGTCTTCCCAGCCCGTAAATGCTGAATTTTTTATGTTGTAGTTTTCAACATATGTAATTTTCAAACATAAATCTTTTAGTTTATTTGGATCACCTCTTGAATTAAGTGACTACTTTTGTCACGGTTGTAATGAATGGATTGGGTGGTTATAATACTTTTGGTTCTATACTGAATGGAATTTATTTTTGCCATCTAAAATGTGGTAGAGACTAAACCTTTAAATCTATTTAAAAAGTTTCTTGAAATCACATTTCAAGTTTTTAGTGTTTCAATAATATTAACTAATAAAAGTATTTTGACTGGGGCTGGGAAGGTGGCTCAGTGGTAGAGCGCTTGCCTTGCATGCCTGAGGCCCTGGGTTCGATTCCTCAGCACCACATAAAACAAAATGAAAAAAGCCGGAAGTGGCGCTGTGGCTCAAGTGGTAGAACACTAGCCTTGAGCTGAAGAGCTGAGGGACAGTGCCCAGGCCCAGAGTTCAGGCCCCAAGACCGGACCTCCCCCCCCCCCCCCCCCAAAAAAAAAAAGTCTCATGGACTTTTCTGTCCAGGCTGGTATCAAACAGTGATTCTTAGATCTTGGCCCCTTCAGTAGCTAAGATTATAGGCATGAGCCCTCAGCCCCCAGCCTAAGTTCATTTATTTTTATTTGTAATAACTTAATAATTAGTCTAGGATGTAATATGTAATATTATATGTAATATATGTAATGTTATATGTAATAGTTTCTTCCTTTTCTATTAGTAATTCTAAGTTTCCATTAAGTAATTCTAAATTGATTTGTTTTAAGTTAAAAAAGGCTATTCATTATTGTCTTTTTTTTTT